AAAAATAAAGAATCACACAAAAGGGGGGTTGTCAAGCTGCTCTTTGCTATGACACTGTGCTTTGGGAGATTTGAAGAAATTGCAGAGGTTGGTGGATGAATTTGGTAGGGTTGCAAAAGAAAAAATTAAAGGTGAAACAGGAAAGAGTAAAGGGTTATGAGGTAAAAAAAAATTTGGGGAGAAAGATTGGATATCAGATTGGAGGGAGAGAGTTTTGGGGAAAGGGGGAAAAGTATTCAGATATTTGGGGGTGGACGTTCAGCGGGTGGGGGCTATGAAAGTGGGTGAAACAAGAATTGAGGGGAAAATGAGTGGTGGTGACTTAGGAGTTGTGGGGGGCAAAGAACTTTTTCCTTGGAGCAAAGAGGGGAATGTATGAGATATAGTTTTTCCAACGCTCTTTATGGGTGTGAAGCGTGGGTATGAATGTTGCAGCGAGGAAGGCTGGGGGGCAGTGGAGTGTCATGTCTGGGGAATGTGTGGTGTGAATATAATGCGGATTCGTAGTTTGGAATTAGGAGGAGGTGGGGGGATTTACCAAAACTGTTTTTCCAAGGGTGAGGGGAAAGGGTTGTTGAGGTGGTTGGACAGTAAGGGGAAGGAGCGAAACAGAAAACTTCAAGAGGGTATCATTGTAGTGGAAGGGAAGGGGGGGTAGGGGGCGGCCCGGAAAGGTTGGGGGAGGGGTAAAAAGGGGTTTTTGGGAGGGGGGTTGGACTTTCAGCAGGCATGCGTGAGCATTTTTGATATGTTGAATGGAAACAAATGTTTTAATACTTACGTGCTGTTGGAGTGTGAGCAAAGTAACATTTATGAAGGATTCAGGGAACGCAGCCTACTTTGCTAGCCTGGAGAGGGAAAAAGTACAGTGCCTGCACGAAAGGAGGTGTTAATGTTGCAGTTTAAAAACTAGTAGTGTAAAGCCCTTCGGCAAGACAGTGTGGAGTGAATGATGGTAAAGTTTTTCTTTTCGGGCCACCCTGCCTTGGTGGAATCGGCCAGTGTGATAATTAAAAAAAAGAAAAAATTTTTTTTCATTGGTACACTTCAGTCATATCCCCTAACTTTTTAATTTTTCCAGTGATGAACATAGTGCTTTCACCAATCTTTGTCTTTTTTTTTAGAGCACAATTTAACGTCCATTCTCTTTGGCAGAATAGGTGAACTGCATAATCGAAATGGGTCTTATGACACCATAACACTTTAAGTATAACTTGAGGACATATTATACTTTTTGATATGAAGTCCATATTTTTTTGCATATTGTGAAAACTTGCATGTTTGTTGGATAACTAGCAGTTATAATTTAATTCTCTAGCCTGCCACTTGACTGATATATAAACTTACTGCTAATGTGTGAATTGTATGCTAGGAAGGGGCTAGGTCTCATTGGAAGAGTTTCACATTTTCCTTGATGCCAGTGAAGGGTTCTTGATCCAAGGAATTAATTGCTTCCTTGGATTGAACCTGATTGCTTTCCAAGAAATAAAAAAAAATTCACAGCTTGTTTCTTGGGTCATTGACCACCTTCGGCTAACCTGAGCAAAGTTTTTGGCCCATACTATATGCCAGTATTCCATCTACATCTATTCTAATTTTGTATATAAGTTGGAATTTGTCGAATTTGAACAAGTATTTGAATGTGATGAAATTGCTAGTAGTAAATGCACTGAGACTGCTAACTTTGCACCTGAATAATTCCATTAAGTTTTCCCACCAAATTTTGTACTTTTAGTGTCATTACCTTCAGATTCTACCACTCCAAAAGAAAACATTTTTGTGGAAAATTTTTTGACATTGAGAACAAGTGATAGGGTTAATAAACTTTTGTATGCAGTTTAATGTGCCTTTTTTGAAAGGGTTGAATTTTACAGCTAGGAGTATTTGCCAAATTATTATTAGTGCTTCTGTATTCTGCTGAGCTTTTAATTTTTTTCAGACAAGTCACTGATCTTGTGAAGCTAACTCGTGAGGAGAATCACTACGGTATACCCCAGAAGCGTCTTCACGGACATTCCCATTTTATATCTGATGTGGTACGTACATGGTTTACATTTACAAAATTTGAAGTAATAATTGCTAGTGCTTCAGTGAATTATTTCATGTCATATAAAATTAATATTACAGGTATTATCTTTGGATGGACACTTTGCCCTGTCTGGTTCCTGGGACAAGACATTACGCCTTTGGGACTTAGCTGCTGGCAAGACTACAAGGCGCTTTGAGGACCACACTAAGGTCTGAACCTGCCGTTCTCATCTGACCAGAACCTCATTCTTCAAAAAAAAATATAACAGGAAGCTTTTTTGTTTAAAACTTTTTTTTAGTAGATGGAAGAGGACACCTGAGACTTGGTGAGTACATGATCAGTCTTAAATAGGCAGGATACCGGATACATGATCAGTCTTAAATAGGCAGGGTACAAGATACCACTTGGATACCGAAGATACACAATTCCTAACATCTCTGTGGCTCATCTTTGACTACTGGTGGTGTCCCTGAGTTCCTGATTCTTGCTTTTTAAACAGCCTATCCCTATCTACCTTATCAGTTCCCCTGAGAATTTTGTTACATTATCCCTGGTTCTATTATCTTCCAAGGGTTGTTGGGTCCAGTGCTGTTAACCTCTCGTCATAGCTTGTGTCCCTTAATTAGGCAGCAAGCTTTGGTCCCCTACGTATGCATTCTCTCCAGTGTTAACATGTATTTTCTGATGTGGGTTCCATACTGGTGCCTTTTTCCAAGATGGGTCTAATATTGTAAAGGGCCTGGAAAGACTGTGAGATTGCTGAAGACAACTTTTTAGATTTGCCAGATGAGGCATCTGTTACAAAGGTTATTCAGCCAATGTGAACCTCTGGTGAACCTAGGTCTTTCTTTTTGAGTGAAGTCTGTATCCTGTCCCTTATTCTATACCTAGCTTCTGGTCTTGTTCCTTCTTCAGTCTTCGACTTCTCATTTACTGGGGTTGAATATGGCAACCACTCAATTGACCACTCTTGCAATTAGTGCAGATCCCTTTGGAGGCTTTCATTGTCCTCATCTGTTCTTATTTCCATAAATTTTAAATCTGCATACGGGAATATATATGAATCGTTTCCTTTTGGAATGTCATTTACATAAATACTATATTGGTCTTAATTTCCGATCCTTGTGAAAAACTGCTAGCTACTCTTAAACCCATTTTGACATCTATCCTGATGGATACTCTTTTATCTTCTGGTGTATATTTCCTGCTATTCCTGCCTCACTCAAGCTTTTGGTCTAGCATCTTGTGTAATTTCAAGCACATGCATTTTAAAAAAATGCAATCTGCCCAGCCCTCTTTTGTTGCACATTTGTTCCTTTGGCATGGGACTGCACCAAGTTAGCAAGATGAGATCTACCATCCATAAACCTTTACTGGTTATTGTTAATGAAACCACTTCTCTTAGTGTTCTACTTTCCCTGATAAGTTTCTCCACTATCCTGCAAGGTATGCAGTTGGGGAACAGGTCTAGTTTAATGCTTTCCCGTATGACCCCCTACGATTTTGGCACCCCTATGTAAAAAAACCAAATGTACAGTAACATACCATGTTATTTGGTTAATACTTTCGAATGACCCTTTTTTAAGGCAGTCATATTGTAAAAGGAATGATTTTGCTTAAACATTTTGGGGGACATTCCCAAAAATAAAAAAAAAATAGGGTTTTTCCCCCATGAATTGATAAGCAAAATAAAATATGGTTTATAAATATTTGTGTTAGGATGTGCTCTCTGTTGCATTTAGGTGCAACCGTCAGATT